TAGATTAGATTAGATTAGATTAGATTAGATTAGATTAGATTAGATTAGATTAGATTAGATTAGATTAGATTAGAATAGTCTTCCTGTTCCTGGTGCCCTAGAATGTTGGATTCAACTCCCATTATCTCCGGGCAGCTCACCCCTGGAGAGCACAAATCGGGAAGGATTTGCCCAGTGAAACCCCCACCCTCACCACCTCCTCCTCCTCCTCCTAAGCCGCCATTTCTGACCCTGCTCCTCTTTGTCTTGCCTAGATAACCTGGAAAGTGTGGGCCTCTACTTTGTGCTGGGCGTCTGCTTTGGTCTGGTGCTGACCCTCTGCCTGCTGGTTATTCATATCTCATGGCACCCTCAAGTAATCCCCCCCAAGCGCCGAAAAAGCCTGCAGGACTTGAGCGAGGGGGAGGAGGAGGAAGAGGAGGAGGAAGAGGAAGAAGATACGGTTGACCATGCAGTTTCTGAGCCCGCATTAGCCATGACGGAGTTGCCCTTGGCATCCTCCAGCACCCCAGATGGAACCCTCACGATTAACGTCTTTGCCTCGGCTGAAGAATTGGAACGTGCCCAGAGGCTGGAGGAGCGTGAGCGGATCCTCAGAGAAATTTGGCGTAATGGGCAACCGGACATTCTGGGAACGGGTACCGGTACCATCGGGAGAGTCCATTACTATTGACTGACTTCTTTCACGCCTAAGCCGAGCGAACGACTGCCCTGCACTCCTTGAGGCGCTGCCACAGCTGTTGTGCCTGCAGCCAACCCTGACCTTGAACTGAGAGGGATAATGGGGGGCGGGAGGTTGAAGGTCTTCCTCAGCGTGAGGCACACACAGCCAGTGGGAGTCTCAAGGATTGGTTTGGGCAGGACTGTTGCAGAGGCACTAAGAGGACTTCTCCCAAGGACCTGCTTCTGAGTGCCTTTCGGGGTGGGAAGGAAGGGAGTTATAAATGGAGGCATTTATATGCAGAGACAATGTTGGTTTTCTACCAGGGGCTCTGGAAGGTTCTTCCTGTTCCACTGAAGGATCTACTAAGGGAGGAGGCTTCGGTGACTTTGGGCCTGCTCTGTAGAAGCGTGCAAGACGTTCTGACTCGAAACATCCAACTGCTGAAAACGCTTGGCTCAGGGCGGAACAGCCCAGCCTCCGTCTTGGGGGATCCGTTGCCCAGGGCCGGAGTGCTGTGCCAAGTGATGCGCTCTGCACCCGTTCTCTCCCCAGCCGGTCGGAAGGCTCTTCTCCCAACTTGCCAAGCCATAGGAGATCCCCCCAGTTCCTTACCTGAAGTATCTTGCCTCAAGCAACCCTCCTCCAGGGTTGGTGCACCAGTGAGAGGTGCAGCAGGGTGTGAGTCCCCCAGAATTTCCTCTGCTGTGGAACTTCTTTCATTCCGTAAAGGCCCCGAGCAGGCAGGGATGGCGGAGCGGCTGCAGAGTCAGCCGGTGGCCCTGCGTGGACTGAAGCTGGGGCTGGCAGGGAGACGGGGCAGCGGGTCCTGTGCCTGCCGTTGGTGGTTTTGTTTTGCTTGTTCCCTCGTTCCATACGGGAGTTAACTGATTTTTAACAGATACTCAATTTACAGTGTAAAACTGTGCCTTATCTTTTATAAAACAGAATTATTCCAATGACGCTCTTCTTGTGGCACTCAACTCTCACCCCCTTCGATCTTCAAAAATAGCCCCAGTGCCCAGAGGGTACCAGTTTTGTATCGCTTGGCAAGAGCGGCATAGATTCCTTCCAGGGGTGCTTTTGCAGTGCAACTTAATTTGAACTGAGCGCCAGTCCAGCCATCCCCCGGCATGGAGGATGTCTGATACTTTCCCTGAGGAGTTTTGGTTCTTCCATCCCAGGCTCTCACTGGGCCTTCCTGGGCCTTGTGTGGGAGAAGGGAGCTGTTCCCACACTTGGCTCCCCGCTCTCACCATCTCCCAGAGATTCCCTGGTCTTCAGCTGGAAGGGGGGGGATGTTGACCCTCTCCCAGCTTTTCCCAGACCAAAGTGATTAAGCCCGTCCAGCTGGGAATAGGAGCCTCTGTCCTTTGCTGGAAGGGCTTGTGATTGGCCCAGGCGTGTGTGTGCGTGTGCATGTATGCAGTTCATGAAATAAGCAGCTTTAAATCAAATTCTGAAGAGTTAGTTTTGGAATTAGGGAAAGCAGTTAATTTTCTCATCCGTGACAGAGCCAAACCCTGGACTCCAGAGAACTGAAACCCTGTTGTAGACAGGCATGGGGGGGGGATCATTATTCCTGGGATAAAGAGATCCAGTGCACTCCCTTTCCTCCTGGCTTGCCTCCCCCCCCAGAGAGGAGTGATAAAAATAGCCCTTCCGCTCATTCCTCCTGTAACTAGAACCAGATGTTCGCCAGATGTTTTCCTGCAAACTTGGAGAGGGGACAGTTCAGGAGACTGTTTGGAGTACTGGACAAGGGGAAGGAGGAAGCCCTTCTCCCTTTGGCAAGGAAGAGGCTGAAATCTTTTTGGGGGGTGGGGGACAGGAAGGCAGGCAGTCTTTTCCTGCCTACAAAAGCTTAAGTTTTGGCGTCTGTATTTTTACGCTTGGTGTGCAGCCAACTCTGAGTGATTTGTGTTTTGCTTCAGGGAAACAAACTACTTGCCTCCATTCTGTCTGTGGAGAAACCCTTTGAATCCATGCTATTCCCCCCCCCCCCCGGCAAACATTCCCACATTCTTTTCCAGGTGCCTTGATGCCAGGCCCTCCTCCTAGCCTTTTCCTTCAGTTGCTTGGAACTGGCTTAGGGTCATGGCTGGGTGATTCCCACAAAATGTGAAAGAGATGGTGTCAGCAAGTGGAGACTTAAAGGGGGTTCTGTGAAGTTGTTTTGGCTGAGCTGGGATTTGAATGGGGCCCACGAGGCTAAAGGCCTGAAATTACAAAATGCAAGACTTGGAAGGGGACTTGGAGGTCATCTGGTCCAATCCCTGCCTCCTAGGATTCCAGCACTGAAGTACCCCTGACAACCTCCATCATCCGGCCCTAATGCACGACTTAAAACCAGTCCTGAAGATTGTGGCCCATTGTTCCACTTATCAGTCCTGATCCTGCTCTCTCGGGTGTCTGCTATCCCTCTGGTAGTCTGCAAATTTGATGGGTGTGTCGCCTAGCTCCTCACCCAAGCCCCGCCTCCGTTTCTCCTGGGGATGCCTTTCAGTGGGATCCCACCTAGATCTTCTCTAAGTCTGTCAAAATTGCCCCGTTCCACCAGACTTGGAAGTGAACATCTGGCACAGTGAAAGTTGACATAGTTTCTTATATTCAACTACTGGGAGTCCAATTCCAAGCAGAGTTAATCTCCCCCCCCCAAAAAATGTTTGTGTTCATCCTTTCCAATGTAATCAGCAGTTCTTCTGCTTAGGACCCACTGGACTGTGGGTGGTTAATTTAATTAGTGGTCTAATTCATGCATACAGTATTGCTAAACTGTAAAGTTAGGATTACAAACTGCCCATGATGCTATGCCCCAAACCATCAAACTGCACTACAGCTGAGCAGATTGCTTGAACCAGGGTCCAGCTCAGGGTAGGCCACTTATGGCTCGCAGTGTACCCCCACCACCTGCTGGCACGGCCCAAAGGGCCTTCTGACGATGCCGCCAGGAGGGATGGACCAAATCTTGATGTTCCACTTGAGAGGTGGAGGACGAAGGAAATGAGAACATTTTTGCCCAACGGAGTCCTTGCGTGCCCCTTCCCACCCTTAAACCAACCCTCCCCACCCCCGCATCTCTGGCAGCCTTTATGGCACTGAGTGTGACATAGGAACCTGCATGCTGCGGGGAGATTGGGAATAGGGAGGACAGGCGACCCAGTACTTTTAACAAACCATGATGGCTTGTGATAGAGGGGCAGTGCCTTCTTGAGGAAATGGGAGCCAACAGAAACCTAAAAAACATTTGGCGGCATTTGGTGTCATCTTTCTTAAATGCTGATTTCTTGGCTGTCACTTGAGACCCCCCCCCCCAAGGAACAGGATCATGACCATGAGACGGACCTCAGGGCTCTGGAGCAGCCAAGATTCACCTGCAGCACAGCCCCTGCTCATGTACAGAATCCCTACTAAAAGGTGGTCTCCTCCCCAGCAAGAAAGGCCGAACACAATGTGGGAGGCGCCTGCTGGACTGGAGCTCCATCATGCGCACAGATGGCTCATTTGGCTGACAGCACAAAAGGGAAGAGAGAAGTCGGAATGGATGTTCCCCCAGGTCCAGGCAGGACAGATCAGAGCTAGAAACGCAGGCAAGCGAAGCAGTCCCACCATCAACAGGGACAGCGCCCCCAGGATTCCCAATAGCCCACCAACACCGCTGGCCAGCCGGGACAGCTGGGAATTGGGGGGAGAGGCAGGAGAAGAGAGCTCGGGGCGCCCCCTGCTGCTGGAAACCAGAAGCACAGGCACATAGGAACTGCTTCCCAGTATCGTCCGTTGCACACCCCTAGATTGGGCCTTACCTTCATTTTAAACGTAGCTGTTGCTGTGCCATACTAGTGTGCAACTGCTTCTTTTGGAAGAAAGGCCGCCACAAAAGGAGGTCAGAGTTCTCAGCTCTGCCCAGGCAGATGGGTTGAATGAAGAGCCATGTAGGGCACTGATGTTTTACTCAGGTTGGCACCTTTTTGTGTCCACCTGTGGCCTCGCCTACTATGAGGCACCTGTGTGGCATTTAGAAAACAGTGCTGGTGCTTAGAAAAAACCTTCCTCACACCCCCACCCCACCCCCATGTGTGGATCCTGAAGACATTGGGGTAGAAGAGAGACCAGCTGTTTCTGGCGCAGATGGTGCCAAATCCTGACTGGGCAACAAGGCTGCAAAGCCCCACCTGGTGCAGAACATCTTCCTCCAGAATCTCCTGGCTGGATTCACAGAGCCCATATAGCCTGGATACTGGATTTACTCAAGCTTTGCACAGTACACTGAGTCATAAAACTAGCCAGGGTCAGAAAAAACTTAAGTTCCCCCCTCCCAAAGAAGCCTGGCTAAAAGGTGACTGAGATTAGTGTATCACCTTGATGGGACTTTCTCACTGGCTCGTTGTGCAGACACTGCCGCAGTAGAGGCTTCTCTGGGCTTGGGTGACAGGAAAGGCTTGTCCTCTGGAGCAGAGCTCTGACGGGCAGGCCAAACTGAATACCCAGCGCGGCCCACAGCCCGTGCAGGGGAAGGAGGGGACCAAGATGGCTCCAGCACAGCCGTTCGGGCTCTGCTTGTGGCAGGCCACAGCCAAACCAGTTGCGATACCGCTTGCCAGCATGCTCACCTGCGCATGGCACCCCCCATCCCAACAGCCGCCCCCCACCCCCAACGCAAGGCAGCACAAGTGCTGCTCCCTTCTGCTGGTCACACAGTAGCGCCTCCTGGTGTGAATCCAGGCTTGGGGGTGCCTTGGGGCAGAGTCGGACAGTGAACCATAAAACATGCCCCCGTCCGTTCTGAGGTGCAGCTTGCAGAAGCGGGGGAGGGTTCCCGGGGCACACGGCTTGCTCAGCCTGTGGCAGAGGGTGCCGCCAGAGCGGGGAAGGAGGAAGCAGAAGCCCCAGGCTGGCCAGTTCCAGGGTCCGCTGCTGGGTAGAAGCTTTTGACCGGCGGAGCCCCATGGCTCACGTGGTGGCATCAGTTGCTTCCGCTGGTCGGTTTCTGCCTGCAAATGTCAGCAAATGCAGGTGAGCCAAGGATCGTCTTCGCCCCAAGGGCCAAGGAGGCATCCCAAGAGGGCAGGGCGGTGTCGCTCTTCTCCTGGGGCTCTTTCCGGCCCCACTTCTCACCTGCAGAGCCGCCCATGTAGCCCCCATGAGCTCCACCACGTCTTCCCTGCCAGGAAAAGGGGCTCCGAAGCTCCGCGGGATCCAAGTTTGAAGACAGGTCAGCCCTTCACACCTCCCAGACCAGCAGGAGGAAATCCACAGAAATACAGGGTGCACACATCATTCTGCCCTTACACACTTCAGGTAGACATCGAACACCATGAACAGCATAATTGGTACTTCCTGAGAACAGCCAAAGCAGCAATTACACTGTCCATCATTATATTATGGAGCTACGATAAATATAATGCATGAGTGAGTTCATGCAGCATGTTAATCTGCAATTGCCTGGGATCACATAGCGTGGCTTACAAATCCCAGTGTCCAGGATCATGCTGCAGTTTAGTGCAGGGTGTAAATCCAGCAGTAGCTGCACAGGGGGATCCTCCTCCCATCATAGCTGGGAGGGCCATTCCAAGCCTCTTGTTGCACACCTGCAACTTCCTTGAAACAGAAAGGCCTGCTCAGCAGAGAAAGGGGGGACTGCAGAGACCCCATAAACAGCTGTCTTTCATTCTTGTGCCCCCCAGATGGAGCACACAGCTGGCTCTCAGCTTCAGGGGAAGCTGCTTATTTTGCTGCTTCTCCAAAGCAAGATCCCTGCTCGCAGGATGAAGCTCTTCTGCCACCTGCTCTGATTTTCCAGCACGCAAACAGAGCATGGCTGATGGGTCTTTCTTCAAGGAACTCTGAGCCAGGGAGTCACCCCACTGGCAAAAAATATCAATGACAACTTGCTCTTTGTCCAGAGGGAAAGGGGGGGGGTTCCCACCCACTCTACCAGCCCATCTCACTGATGCTGTCC